GAGAGAGAGAGAGAGAGAGAGAGAGAGAGAGAGAGAGAGGGGGGGGGAGAAGGGTGTGTGAGAGAGAGGGGAAGAAGGGTGAGAGAGAGAGAGAGAGAGAGAGGGAGAGAGGGAGAGAGAGAGAGAGGAAACTCCTGTTTCGCTTGAAGGCTGTTAAGGCTCGAGCTGTGGTGGAGGTTGTTGCTACGGTGGAGGTTGGTGGCTCTCACAAAGTGCACTTCATCTAGGGCAAGTCTGGGGGCTGCTACTGTATGATGTCTGTCTTTTTCATTTTGTTTTGTTTTGTAATGTTTTACTCATTTTTGTTAAGATACTCTACTAGGAAGAGGGGAAGGAGGTGGATGATCAAAGCAAGTGTTCGAACTTTGGAGCTGTACTAAAGCTTTTGACGCTCGGACCACAACTGGGCAGTCAAGGGGAAGAGGGTGGTAGGAGGCGAGGCACATTATCCGCCGTCTTTTTTTCTTAAATTTTTATTATCCGCTGTCTAACTTCATATGGAGCTGATCTGCTGAGTGCCTCTCCTTCATTTGTCCATGCACGCAATCGAACCTGCGATCTCTGGCTCAACAGTGGTGTTTTGTGCTTGCCTGTCAATCCAACTCTGCATGGAAGTGAACCGGAGGGCCCGTGGGCCAACAGCCCCTGGGCCCGTGGGTCAACAGCCACTGGGCCCGTAGGTCAACAGCCCCTGGGCCCGTGGTTCAACAGCCGACGTCTTATCCACTGGGTCTTGAGTCGGAGGGGGCCGGAGGGGGCTGGAGGGGCCCTGGGCCCGTGGCGTGATGTCAAAAAGTGGAACCATGCATCACTCAAGACCCCTCCTGCAGGACCCATGGGCCCATGCGTCCCTCCGACACGGCCATGGAGTCGGGGTAGGAAAAGTAAGCATGGAATAATCCAAACCCTTTCGGGCGCGTTTTATTCGAATTTTCCCAAACTGGTATCGGAGCTGCTACCCGCTATTCCATGCGCGCCGTCGTCGTGTGCAGGGCCTGAAGCGCCATAGCAGAGGTGGCCGCCGAGGGGTATAGTCTGCCATAGCGGACCCGAGGTTGGAGAAGCCGCCGCGCACCTGCAAAGAAGACCACGACGAAGAAGAAGACAGAGAGAGAGAGAGAGAGAGAGAGAGAGAGAGAGAGAGAGAGAGAGAGAGAGAGAGAGAGAGA